GAAAAGGAAAAAATATGGTGTTGTAAATTGTGTTTCTAAAGGGTGAAGAGTGAAAGGTTATGAAAAAAAGTTTGATTGTGTAATGTACATGTTTTTTCAGGATAGTTTTTTGAATACCTAAATATCCTTTGTTTCAAAATCATAATCTCAAGGCCCCATTACAACCTTAAATAAATACGTATTTGATCTCAAAACTGTATTGATGGATGCATGACTTGTGTGAATAAGAAAGAGAATGGTGATTATTTATTTATTGTGTGTTGATTTTCTTCCATGTGATTATGTCAAATCATTTTCTTCGGGATTACAATTATTTTAATAGACATGTGAGCATTATTTTATTTTGATTTAAATATCTTCTTCTCACATGTGATATTTGAGAGAATAGTCACTATAATCTGAGAGAATCTTTTATGAGTGAATTATCTAGTGAAATTTGACATTGAGACGAATAGTTGATAGATGTAGAGATTATTACCGGATAAATTATTAACTTGGTATAATCAATTTACACTACACACAAGTTTATATGGCAACATAATATGTGCATACATTTATATAGCGTAGAATTTTATTTTTTGTTTTGCATGTACTTATAAAAAGACTTGTATCTTAGAATTTTATATGGTAGTAACAATTTGTGTTATAAATTATTATTAAAATATTTGATCATAGGGTGATGTTTGTAGGTATCATCTTTGGAAACACTCACGAGACTATACTCGTCCACCAGTGGGAACATAGGGGTTTAAAAGTTTGTTGCATATGCTAAATATAATCGTGAGACCTACGAATATGGATTTGTGTTTTATTTTGTTAGGATATTTTGTTTTTAGTTTTTAGATTTTAGGATTTATATATTACTAGGGACTAGTAATATTCAGGTTGGGGATTGTGATTAACCATAAAAAATGTTTTTTTATTAAATTTAATGATTGGTTAATTACATATTATTTGTGATTAAATGTATTAAATTCCTTGATTTTCTAGTTTGATACTTTTTCTAGTTGTTTGATTTATTTTACAGATAAATTAGTTGATTTAAAATAATAATGAATAAGATAAGTGAAATAATAACTAGAGGAAAAATCACAATTGATAAGGATTGAAGAGTCAATATTGAGATAGGAGAATTTGAAAATATATCAACAATTTTAATCCTTATAAGAGTCCAAATTAGAAGAAAATTCATTTAAAGTTGGATTATGAAATAATCCTATAAGATAAGGATTTGACACGTTTGCAATAGTTTAGTCATAATTTTTGACTCTAATATCTGATTGACTTGATTTTTACGGGGTTGGAAAGAAAACTCTAAGGACTACAAAATTGTATTTCACAAATTTCGTAAATCAGCCTCTAAATATACAAAATCGAACCTCGAAATCTGAATAGATTTTGTACCCGCGCCCCAAAGATTGTATGTACGGGATTTAACCTTAAAAAACTTCTTTTTGGAAAGAAATTCCTTCCAAGCCCACCTTATACCTTCTACCTATACTTAGGATTTATTTTAGTATAAATAAGGATTCTCATTTAGGATGAGGATGATTAAGATTATTATTTTTTTTCCATTTTTTCTTTTCTAGTTTTTTTGTTTTAGTTCTATGATTTGCTAAAAGCTCAACTAAAGATAGGAGAAATATTTTCAATGAAGCAAAATCCTTATTATTGATTTAATGATCTTTTTAATGCATGATTTATTCTTTTAATTTAATTTTTGTCTTCTAATAAAGTTTTTGTTCTATATAATTTTTTGATTCGTTATACCACATACATCGAATGCTTCAGATTCATTACGAGTTAAATAACTGGTTATTCTATGTTTAAATTAATTAATTAAAATTTCTCGTAAGATAGTTAATTTATTATTTGAAATAAAATAAGATTTACATGTTAGAAAGCTTGATTTATCGTAGACTTCGAGCACAGTAAATGCTTGAAATCTACAAGTAAATTCTTATATTTATTCAAATAATTTATTAATTATAACTTTTGATGTTTTCATATTATCACCGATAAATATTCCAATTGAGATCACTCCTTAGTTGATTCTCAATTGAGTTAGAAAATTTGATCATTAATAATTACTGTGTAGATTTGAAAAGATATCCCCGATGTTTTAGTATTTTTAATTATTATTTTAAAAATCAAATTTATTGTTTTCTAATTTCAAAATCTCTACAACTTTTTTCAAAACAATTTTCTTTTATTTTTCTTTGTGTTCTAAGTTTTTCTCAATTACTTATAGTTTGACCTCGAACTTCTAAGTATTATATTACTTCGCACAACTTACACTTAGATGATCAATTCTAAAGTTGTAGCACCTACCATTAGAAATTTGAGTATGGATTTAAATCTCCATAAAAAAAGAGTCTCACTTAATTTGATATAAGTATAAGTCTAGCATTGAAAAAAAATGTTAGAAGTCTTTTTATCTTAATTTATATTTGGATTTGAAAAAAGATAAGAATTGGAGATACTCTCGTCGTTTCAAGGCCTAAATCAAATTTCTAATTAGTCGATCTCCTAGTGTCAATTCAGGTTTACCAAGAAAAATTGGGGGCACATAAATATGACGATGTCGTGTAAAATAAGTATACGAGATATTTCTTAAAGAAGACTAAATAAGTAGGTTTTAAGAAAATGAGAAAAAATAATTTGAAAATTAGATGACTTTTTGTTTAAATTAGCCGCATTTGTTCTGTTGTTGTGTGGGTGGAGCCCCTTTTTCATTTCTCATTTCAAATTCTTATCGGGAACAATTCTCAATATTCGGAGAAGTATTACCACTCCCATAGAAAAGGAATGCCTCTATTTGTATTATGTTATGCATTTAATGCCTTTATTTATGCTTTTAGAAAATAAAAAAGAACTAGCCTACTATATTGAACTACATGCCTAGCATAACATAAATTAGCGAAGAATAATGTCTCGAATCAAATATCCTACGATTTATTCAAAGTAAGGTGGATAGAACAAAGAAAACTTTCATTACACTACCGAAGACTCAAGGTCAGTCAGATGGTCAATCTCTCTCTCTTCTAAGACGGAGGCTTGAAGTCTCAAATGAAATTGTCAAATTGACTATTTTCACCCCGAATATGTGGTCCAAAATAAAGGGCCTTCTTGCCGTTTCTAGGACGGCTGGTGTTTGCCTTAGAATCACCAAGACAAGATAAAAACAAGGGTNTAATCCTATAAGATAAGGATTTGACACGTTTGCAATAGTTTAGTCATAATTTTTGACTCTAATATCTGATTGACTTGATTTTTACGGGGTTGGAAAGAAAACTCTAAGGACTACAAAATTGTATTTCACAAATTTCGTAAATCAGCCTCTAAATATACAAAATCGAACCTCGAAATCTGAATAGATTTTGTACCCGCGCCCCAAAGATTGTATGTACGGGATTTAACCTTAAAAAACTTCTTTTTGGAAAGAAATTCCTTCCAAGCCCACCTTATACCTTCTACCTATACTTAGGATTTATTTTAGTATAAATAAGGATTCTCATTTAGGATGAGGATGATTAAGATTATTATTTTTTTTCCATTTTTTCTTTTCTAGTTTTTTTGTTTTAGTTCTATGATTTGCTAAAAGCTCAACTAAAGATAGGAGAAATATTTTCAATGAAGCAAAATCCTTATTATTGATTTAATGATCTTTTTAATGCATGATTTATTCTTTTAATTTAATTTTTGTCTTCTAATAAAGTTTTTGTTCTATATAATTTTTTGATTCGTTATACCACATACATCGAATGCTTCAGATTCATTACGAGTTAAATAACTGGTTATTCTATGTTTAAATTAATTAATTAAAATTTCTCGTAAGATAGTTAATTTATTATTTGAAATAAAATAAGATTTACATGTTAGAAAGCTTGATTTATCGTAGACTTCGAGCACAGTAAATGCTTGAAATCTACAAGTAAATTCTTATATTTATTCAAATAATTTATTAATTATAACTTTTGATGTTTTCATATTATCACCGATAAATATTCCAATTGAGATCACTCCTTAGTTGATTCTCAATTGAGTTAGAAAATTTGATCATTAATAATTACTGTGTAGATTTGAAAAGATATCCCCGATGTTTTAGTATTTTTAATTATTATTTTAAAAATCAAATTTATTGTTTTCTAATTTCAAAATCTCTACAACTTTTTTCAAAACAATTTTCTTTTATTTTTCTTTGTGTTCTAAGTTTTTCTCAATTACTTATAGTTTGACCTCGAACTTCTAAGTATTATATTACTTCGCACAACTTACACTTAGATGATCAATTCTAAAGTTGTAGCACCTACCATTAGAAATTTGAGTATGGATTTAAATCTCCATAAAAAAAGAGTCTCACTTAATTTGATATAAGTATAAGTCTAGCATTGAAAAAAAATTTTAGAAGTCTTTTTATCTTAATTTATATTTGGATTTGAAAAAAGATAAGAATTGGAGATACTCTCGTCGTTTCAAGGCCTAAATCAAATTTCTAATTAGTCGATCTCCTAGTGTCAATTCAGGTTTACCAAGAAAAATTGGGGGCACATAAATATGACGATGTCGTGTAAAATAAGTATACGAGATATTTCTTAAAGAAGACTAAATAAGTAGGTTTTAAGAAAATGAGAAAAAATAATTTGAAAATTAGATGACTTTTTGTTTAAATTAGCCGCATTTGTTCTGTTGTTGTGTGGGTGGAGCCCCTTTTTCATTTCTCATTTCAAATTCTTATCGGGAACAATTCTCAATATTCGGAGAAGTATTACCACTCCCATAGAAAAGGAATGCCTCTATTTGTATTATGTTATGCATTTAATGCCTTTATTTATGCTTTTAGAAAATAAAAAAGAACTAGCCTACTATATTGAACTACATGCCTAGCATAACATAAATTAGCGAAGAATAATGTCTCGAATCAAATATCCTACGATTTATTCAAAGTAAGGTGGATAGAACAAAGAAAACTTTCATTACACTACCGAAGACTCAAGGTCAGTCAGATGGTCAATCTCTCTCTCTTCTAAGACGGAGGCTTGAAGTCTCAAATGAAATTGTCAAATTGACTATTTTCACCCCGAATATGTGGTCCAAAATAAAGGGCCTTCTTGCCGTTTCTAGGACGGCTGGTGTTTGCCTTAGAATCACCAAGACAAGATAAAAACAAGGGTCTCCCTCCGGCCATTGTCCATAGAAATTAACTCTGCTATCTGTATGCAAAAACCAAAGAACAAGGACCCTTGTAAGATGATTCAACATTTAATGGATTGTTAAACTAGATTACCCCTATCACAACTCTTAGAACAAGGAGGGTCATTTTCTCCAAAGATCTTATCATGGAATTCTCAGTCATACTTTGTCACAGTATGAAGGAGGAGGCATTACAAAAAAGTTAAAACGGGCTGCCTCTAGTCCTCTCCCCTTTGGTTCTTCTATGTACGCAACAGCCAGAAAGAAGGCCCCAATAATGGGAATTTCATCAAGGGAAAGAGATGTGCTCAAGTTGGTGCGGCCGGGTAGGCAATTAGAAATTCACAGAGACTCCATAACTGCTGCAGAAGTCATGAGGAAGTACCCGAGGCACTGCATTACCCGGCCTGATGTGTTTAAGTTTCCATGGATCGTGGTTCGACCTGAGTCAGTTTTGGTTCCAGGTAGAGTTTTCTACATTGTACCTTATCGAACAATCTATCACTTGTTAAAGGCTAGAGGGCAGTGTAACAAACCTTGTTCAAGACAAAACCAATCTCCAAAGAATCATAGCCATCACTGCTTTCCTAAAAGACCACCACCTCTGAATTCACGGCACCCTCACCACCATGAGCAGCGCCTCAGGAAACCGGTTGAGAGAACCCATCAGGAGGCTGTGGCCAGTTCACAGGAAGAAGACTCAGATGATAGTAGTCACTCTAAAAGATTCTACATGAAATCATGGCCTAAGCCGATCATTAAGAAAAGAAACACCCTCCAAGAATTTGATCAAGAATCTGAATTTGATTCATCAGTTGATTGTAGATCATTCAATTCTGAGGACTATTATTCCGATGGAAGAAACATTAGTTCAGCACTGCCTAATATCAGACATGGTTATCTACAGCAGCACAAAAGCAGTACACAAGAAGTTAAATTGAAATCCTGTCTAAGGAAGCAAGACAGTGTTCGTAAGTCGCTGAATCTAAGGGTAACTTTTGGCTTGCCAAGTACAATTGCCAGTAGTCGAAGAGAATCACCAAGTGCGAGCTTGTGATCTTGTTGACAAGCTGTCATACTAGTTGCTTAATGCTTGGTCTCTATATGTGATTGTGGTTGCCTATTTAGAGGATGCCCAGGCAATAAGATAGTGTGACCACAGAAGAATAGAGTTTAGCTTGATGAATGTTTTGCTCATGGAATGCTAGTTAATTTTTAAGATTCTGGATGATGCTATTTCACTGTATTTACAGTTTCAGTGCAGTATCCGAAATTATGGCAGCAGAGTATAATGCATGAACCCACTGGTGATGAGGGAGATTATGGATGTGATGAGAAGGGTTCTACGTCTACCTGGTGCCCAAGACTCCGGTCCACACCTATCGTAGGATCTAAACTAGCGGTAAACACTCTTACATTCTTTTGGAAAGATTGATTTCTGGATCAAACCCATGGCATATCTTCTAGATAGATGGACACTATTCATCACTCCAAGTAAGACTGTTAGAATTTTGAAAAGAAACAAGAAGACATGATTCAAGAAGCAAAGTATTACTTATTAAAAACATATTAAAATTAATTAAAAAAATACAGCTAGGATATATAGCTAAATTACAGCATTGAGGGTAAGAAAGCACCTAATAAGAAAAGAGCAGGATACAAGTAATTTGGTCAAGAGAAGCAAAAAGGTAGGATTGAGGAAGAAGAGAAATGGATCGAGGTTTGATGAAAAAGTTGAGCTTGTCATCTGTTTGTTTGCAAGTTTAGTATTTTGAAATGTAACAACCAACCAACCTAGTCATTGAGTGAGTATACTAATTTGACATGCAACCAGCCAAGCAAAACCGTCACAAGTTACTCTGAAAGCAAGTGGGAAGACAGAGATACATAGAGTTATTTACCAATATACGGTTATTTTTAAATAATATTACCAATTTACGACGCTTTTGAATATATTTATCAAACTACAACACTTTTTAAAAAAAAGAGTTGTTGACCCCGCTTTTATTAAAAAACAGATTCAACAATCCCACTTTTTAGAGTTAACTCATTGGACTTAACAACCTCCTTTTGGGGTTGTTGAATCCACCTTCTAATAAAAGCAGGGTCAACAACTTTACTTTTTAAAAAGTATTGTAGTTTCAAAAGTGCCGTAAATTGGTAATATTGTTTCAAAATTGTCGTAAATTAATAAATAAATACACTGGGGAAGTATGTATCGTACAACATATTTTCAGCTTTTTCTAGACAGCATATTCACATCTTTTTCTCTTTCTCCACACATCAGTGTCGCAGTATGAAAATATAAGGCTACAACACAAATAAACCTGATTTTCAGCCTCCTTAATAGTTTATTTTCAACAAATCCTATCAAATTCTCTCTAACGAAAACAAACGGTCCAACAAAAAAAAAGCTGTATAAAATAATATATATGCCTGAAAAAAAAAGAAATCCTCACAAAAATGCACAAAAAACCTTTAATATAACAGACTGAAAAAGGAGGCATAAACCCCTTGAATGGTATGTGCAAAGTTTTTGCCCGGAAATCAAGGTTCAAAATAGACATTTTGGTTAATTTGAACGTGATTGCGTCCATTCTAAATTTAGGTCATGACCATAAATCCAAAAGAACCAAGATTAGAAAAATTATCACTTCTATGAAAAAGAAAAAAAACTAATGTCACAATTCATATTGTATAATCATACGGATACAGGATACTCCAGGGTTGAACCTGAGGCAAGTTCCATATGACCAGCCAGCCAAATAAGTTCTTCCTGCTCTAGCATCTCACAACAAATCAAAACTAGATACAGAGACAATCTTACCTTGGATTTGGGTACAGAACAGAGACAAAAATAGAGGAAAATGAGTCACATTCACCACTCGTTACCCACTAGGCATACTCATATAGCATTACGTTGATTCCCACAGGTACAGACTAAAAATGGGATAGAATCAAAAACAAAAAGCACAAAGGCAGGAAACCAAGGAGTTCATTATACACCCTGCATGTGACAATGATGAAAAGATGAAAACCCTAAAGCTACATTTTCTACCCTTTCTACTCCAAGTTAATCAGTATGTAGTTCATCAGCTCTCTTGCGCGTTGCACATTATAAAATTACACTTCGTTCATAGCTCTTCTTGCTTCTTTTTACATTGATTAAGAAATCATGATACAAGGAATAAACCCACTAACCTTAGCCTCTAGGCATTGAAATTCGCAACAAGAGACCAACAAAGAAGTTGCTGACAACAGAAACCTGCAACGACATCTATCCTGCTTAAGGATTCACTCTCACCCAGTCATAACGTCCTGTAATAGGCAAATCATTCAAGACATCAAAGTTGTACCTGCAGAAACACCCAAGAAGAAGGTTTCATTAGCTAAATGGAATCCATAGTTGAAGTAAACTGCATTTGTCAGTTATAAGCAGCCATTATAGAAACAGCAACGCTATACCTCTCTATAAACTTTTTTTGTAGCTGCCGCTCTGCCCGGGTGAAGAATTCCTCTATTTCATTTGATGTAGGAATCAGTCTTTGCCTGGCACTTCTAATTCTTTGATTATCCATAGTTGAACTAGTCAGTCTCGTATTAGAACCGGGGGTCGCAATGGTGTTTGAATCCCTTATCAAGCTACAAGGTGTGCTTTCCCTAGTGCTTCTATTGAAAATTTAAAACACGTATCAATATTATGCAATTTTATATGTTTAATTTTCAGCACCAAACAGAAAAAAATAAAAATTACACCCTAAATACAATTTATGCACCATACATGGCATCAAGTGCACTTAGATGGCCTTAACTAAAGAGATTAAACAAGAGAAGTTATGTAACAGCATATACATGTCCCTCACAAGTCAAGTCTATGGAGAGTTGTGTTGGCCACTTCCACGGTCATTAAAGGGAGCACCCCTTAATTTTCACCTAAAATACCCATCTCAAAGAAATTAAAAAAAAAAAAAGAGGATGTAAATGTGTCCTTAGCTGTACATCCAAAAATTCCAAGGTAAAATTTATCTATTTCAGTTACCAAAAAATTAAAATAAAAAGTCAAACAAAGATTTTCAAGTAAGTAGGTGGACTACACTTTGTTTCTTAATGATAGCCCCCAAAACAGAGTATGGCATGGCCCCCCTGCATAAGATATAATGTGTAGAAAACACAAATGAGGCAGAACAGAAATCGCTGTCGGTATAACTCAAGGAAAAAAATTATCCTTGTTTAAATGATTGCAAAGATTCAAAACCACAATTCGTATTTCATTTTCTTTGTACTGGTAGCTTCCAGATAGTAGAACAATTTTTCTGTTTCATTCATGTATCTAAATACAACATTATTGAGTAAGCAAAACTTTATTTTAGAACTTAATAATAATATTACATCTATACTAGACTTAAGGGAGAGGGTGGGATTTGGTGTCCTGTCCACCAATGAAATACCCAAAATACTCCTATACTATTCCTATGTCAACTACCCATAAGCCCATAACTTATAATTTGTCCCTTCTCTCTCTACATCTCACTTCTTCATAATTGCACACATGGGTAATGATGTAACTTATTATACATCTGATATCTACATATAACTCCAGCCAAGTATGTAACAAGTAATTATTTTCCTTCTTGCACTGAATTTTCTTCCTTGATATAGAAACAAAAAACTTGAACCATAAATAACTATGTGGGGCTACTGATGCATTTTCAGAAGATGATTGTGGATTTCATTAATGGAACCTCTCACAAGTCATAAAATTAACCGACCTTTCGCAAAAGCAATTTTTTCACACAGAACCCATATTTTTGGATCACTGACAACAAATAATAGGAGATGAAAGGGAACACACACAACAAAATTAAATAGCAAAGGACTAAAAAGAAAAAGGCATACAGGCAACCCCAAAATGATGTCTTTTTTTCCCTGTCCCCTTTCCTCTTGGTAAATAAATAGAAGTGATACCCACAAAACCAATGCTAAGGAAAAGCAAAGAACTCTTTTGGAGCTCTTTACCACAAAACCACCAAAAACAATTATACCCTTAAAAGCTAAAACCCTATTTAAAATAAAAGGAAAGAAAAGCAACAAAAAAAATAAAAAAATTTCATCTTCGTCTGTGTTTTCCTTCCCTTCACCCATTCTTTCTCAACAATCAGAGTATCAACTATCAACCTCCCTAAAACCCCCCAAACACAACAGAAAAGAAAAAAATAAAACCCCCAAAAAAATATGAACATAAAAGACTATAATAATCTCCACACAGAGGCACATGCAAAGAAAGAAATACAAGAACCCAAGAAAGAAACATAGAGATAGAAGCAAGTAAACCTATCTTTTGGTTCAAACTCCAAATTGTTCTCTCCACAAGAAACCTCAACACCCAAATCGTAGCTATCTGGTTCGTAATCTTTGCGAGCCCTATCAGTAGTTCCGCCCAAATCTTTCTGGCAACAGATAATTGAGACTGATCCAACAGAACCCGCGTTCCCAGAACTCATCCTCAACCTCGAACTCGCCCTAGAATCAAAGTTTGCATGTAGATTTTTTTCGGGGTTTCCTCTGCAACTCCCTTTTGGGGTTGATTTTTGTTGTTCTTGAAGTTGCCTTCTGGTGTCGGTGAGCAATGGACACTTTTCGAGCCTTCTAGAGCGAAGCCGAAGATAACATGATTCTGGGTTTAGGGGGATAGGTGTTGGGGATTTGGTTGTTGATTGGAGCCTTTGAAGGGCTAGGGTTTTGGCTCTGGTTCGGACGCCCAGGGACGCCTGAGAGACCTCCATGACGGCAACGCCTCCTGTGATTTTATCATTTCTCATGCACTTACCCATGTCTCTGCTTCTGCGACACTCTGTTCCTGAAACAACTAATGTTAGAGTTGCATGGAGTTGGAAACGGGGTGTGTGCGAGACAGAGAGAGAAGGAGAAGGAGAAGAAGAGGAGGCCGGTGAGGGAACTCAATTTGAAAATGAGGGGTAAAGTTGGTAGGGTCAGGTGAATTAAATAGTACTTGTAATTTCTCCTTACTGGGCTTGCCTAAGGTATTGGATACGAATCAGCCACATGGGCCTGTGGTGATGGGCCTCACGCCTTAATCGATCCACCAAACTAAAAATAAAATAAAGGGTTAATTACATTAGAAGTTCCCAAAGTATGAAATTTGTCTCATTTTGTTATCTAATATTTCAATTACATCATTTTTGTCCCTGAAGTGTTGAATATGTTTCTATTTGTTCCCTCCGACAAACAATATCTAAATTGCTAATGATTTTTAATTATAAATTTGTCACGTGATGCTTAAATATAGACAAAAAATATTTTGGATAATTCTTGATTAAAATTTAGGTAGCTCTTGAGAAGAAATGTGTAATATGGGCAGTTCTTGACTAAAAGTTAGATAGCTCATAATTAAAATTGTATAAGTTTGGTAGCTTTTTGACCAAAATTTAGATAAAAATTTGGTTAAGAAATATTTAAATTATTTTTGTACTCATATATTAGGTATTACGTGACAAGTTTATTAATTAAAAATAGTTAGTAATCTAGACAATGTCTATTTGAAGGATAACATAAAAATATATTTAATATTTTAGAAACTAAAATGACATAATTAAAATATTGAAAACTAAAATGAGATAAACTCTATACTTTTGAGACTTGTACAATTAACCCTAAATAAATTGTTCCAAAAATTTAAAAAAAAATCATATTTAAAGAAGCTACAGGGGTACAAAAATACACGATTCTCTTGGTATTATTGAGAAGAACATGAGGGATCCAAATCAAAATGTGATTAAATTTATAATTACCCAATTTTTCACGAAGTTTTGTACTAGTTTATGCAATTAGACCACGCTCTTTATGTGTTAGGTGTTAAAATTTTCAACTAGCAGATTTTATTGGCGTTCTTTTGTACTTGTAAAAAATACACAAGAAAGAAAAAAAGCAATATATAAAAAATTATCCAATCATCACCACCTTTACCCCCTCCTCTACGTACCACAATATCCACCAAACTCGACACTCATCACATAACTCACGCACACATACATATAAAGAGAGATCAATTAGCGAGATGAGGAGGAGGATGTTTTTTGTGGTGGACAAGTGTTAAGTTACTAGTTTCTCTCCCAAACTCGACACCCATCACATAATTCGCACATATGTACATATAAAGAGAGATCGATTAGTATGGTGAGGAGGAGGATGGTTTTTTGTGGTGGCCAACTGTTAAATTACTTAGTTTAGGTAATTTATATTTTCTCATTCTTGTTTTTTTTTTTGATCAACAAGAACTACAAAACTCACACTTAAAAGTGCAAGTTCTATAACTTCTATATAAGCGAGCGCGCACACACACACACAGAATTATCTGATGTGAGATAGCCATATCCCCTGACCCACTTTAGGCCCAAGGGCCCCATCGATCGAGCAACCCTAGAGGGAGGAAGATGAGCCCAACAGTCGAATGCTGTGAAATCGCACGCCCACACCCATAGTTTTGATTTTTTTTTTGATCAACAAGAACTACAGAGCTCACACTTAAAAATATGAGTTCCATAGCCTTTATGTAAACGCGCGCACACACCTAGAACTATCCGATATGGTCATTCTTGTTGTCTTTCAGAAAATGTTGAATAAGTTCTTGTACAAACAAAAAAAAGGAAATAAAAGTGTCAATTTATGTCAACAAAAATGTCATTTTTTGCCACTCACCCCCAAGAGCCATTGCTGCATATACCATTGTTGGATCAAGGGAACTTGTTAGATATGACCCATACGCATACCGAAATATACATTTCAGATAAGCATAATAATCGTATCGTATCGTGTTGTGACGTATTCGTGTTATTTTATTTCGATTTTGTGTCAAATACTAGTCAACTCTAACACAATTCGTTTAACTAATTGTGTCGTGTCGTGTCGACCTATTTATTTTTGTGTTGTATTCGTATTAACCCATATAACATGTGAATAAAAAATTTAATGCTTAATTTTATGTTTAAAATTTTATTATTACTTAATCGAACATTTGTTCATAATTTTCTATAAACTAAAAATTATCTTAATAAACATAAGAATAAAAATAAATAAAAATATTCTTTTTTGTCTAAGTATTAAATGGTTACTTGATAAAATATAATAAAAAATAAGTATTTTATATTTATAATACTATTTAAACACGTTAATCGTGTCAATTTTGTGTTGTTCGTATTTAACAGTAATCTAATTCATTAATTACTTGTATTAATGAATTGTGTTATATACGGGTTCATATCAATGGTCAACCTAACCTACTAATTTCGTATTGATTTTGAGTGTTGAACTAATTGATTAAAAATTTTGTATGTTTATATTAAAAGGAAAAAGAAAATGTACAGTGTCAAAAAATAATTTTTTGGTGCCATTGTGAAATTACTAATCAAGAAGCAACTTTACTATGTAACTTGAATCTATAATTTAAATTTACATCCCAAATAAAAGGAAATCATTGGATTAGTGGATTTCATTTAAAAAAATTAATGGGACCCATAATTTTTCTTTATTTGGGATGTAAATTTAAGTTATATAATATTTTCTTTAAGCGACAAATCTGGCAAATCTCAAGTAGTTTGACAGTAATTTTTCGAAAAATGATTAAACAAACACACACCGGAGTCCGTTCTTAAGCGCATCGTAATCATAAATTCTCCGTGATTTCAGGCTTTTTCCGTACAAAAGAAATAAGAATTAAGCACATAAGTCAATGCTATTTGCATCACATCCAATTATTTGTTCCCTGTGATCTCTATTATTGGACTAATTAACTATATTGTATATAAATAATAATACCCTTTTACTAAAAAAGCAAATCACTTGGCCCCACAAAACGAATCTTTTCGTCCCAAAAAAAAAAACCTTTTCCCGCCAAAACTATTGTCATCTCATTGGTCCAAATAAATAAATTAGGAATCAGCCAATCATCTAATATTGTAAAACTAGGGGTGGAGTCGGAACTGAAAATAATTTACTAGTTGGAACCGTTGAATGCAAGAATGACAAAATAGATTAAAATTCCGTTGAATGCAAGAATGACAAAATAGATTAAAATTTGAGACAGTTACACAATCAGGTATTATAGTAAAATAAAATATTATTTAAAATCTCTAAGATTTTTTATAATTGATTAATTGTAAGCTTATTTCTCATTAATTTTCTACCAATGCGTACAATTACAGAGTCTATAGTAAAATTATTGTTTATATAGGTACAAAATGTAGTTGAACTCATTATCGATCATATCAAGAAATTACATATTTCACATAATATAAAATGGTTTTGGGTTATAACATGTAGCTTTTGCATCCAATCATATTTATTAGGTATAGATAACAAACAAATTAAAAAATAATAAATGATAGCTAAACAATTATTTTTAAAAGATAGGAAACATTATATTAAATAGAATAGAATAGAAATATTATATTTTTTCAATATATATAAATAGATCATGACATTTACATCTAATTTATTCAATCCAAAAGTAAAATATTTGTTTTAGGGGGCTAATGAACCACTAATTTACTAGGGAGAAAAAGAGACTAGTAAATTTTAAAAATTTAGGGGAGCAAATGTAATACATTAAATAATATTACAGGGTCCTCATAAAAAATAATCCAAAAGCGAGGGGAAACAAGTGCCCACCCCAATTCCAATGCAACTCCGCCCATGTATACAACCAAATATCACCATCCTACCAAATATTTGTTAGTGGATGGATTTCTGTGGATAAATGATTTTTACTATCAATCTAATAGAACGAAAATGTGACTCTTTTTTTTTTAGGAAAAGTTAAAAAAAAATGTGACATTTACTTGGCCTAAATTGATGTTTTATACACTATGGAAGATTGTAGAAGATGTCCTAATCATCTGCTAATTTGATGTGATCTCCACTTTGCTTTTATATGATTTAATTTGAGAAAAGGCTGTGTAACTTTAAGCAATGAAGGGTATACATTGATTGATTTACTAGACTGGTGGATCAATCAAGTCANAATTTGAGAAAAGGCTGTGTAACTGTAAGCAATGAAGGGTATACATTGATTGATTTACTAGACTGGTGGATCAATCAAGTCAATGGATGGCTAAAAATTTGGAGCTGATTCTTCCCAACCTACAGCCACACATTTAACCAACAAGCGTATTGGATCCGAATACACAGAGAATTTGACATTGAACTTTAACAAAAGAGACTCTTCAAAAAAAAAAATTCTTCAACAAAAGAGAAATCAAGACACCAAATTTGGGTGTGGGATTAGTTTGATTGAGTTGAATTTGACAATATTTTTACGTTTTTTTTATAAACGAGTGAAATTTGAATAATATGTGGCTCGACTTGAGTATGTCTAACTCGGTCCAAATAAACTCTCATCCACAATNGAGAATTTGACATTGAACTTTAACAAAAGAGACTCTTCAAAAAAAAAAAAATTCTTCAACAAAAGAGAAATCAAGACACCAAATTTGGGTGTGGGATTAGTTTGATTGAGTTGAATTTGACCATATTTTTACGTTTTTTTTATAAACGAGTGAAATTTGAATTATATGTGGCTCGACTTGAGTATGTCTAACTCGGTCCAAATAAACTCTCATCCACAATTAATTCTAAGAAACTCCTAATTTACTTCCAAATTCCTAAAGTTTAAACTCCTCAAAATCTATTGTAAAAGAGAGTNATTAATTCTAAGAAACTCCTAATTTACTTCCAAATTCCTAAAGTTTAAACTCCTCAAAATCTATTGTAAAAGAGAGTGAGATTTGTCATGAAATTATTGATAGTGTAGGATCTA